TTTGAAAATGTGTCTTCTAGAAACACCGATTCCTTTAGCGCGTCCGGGTTTTGGCGAAGAGCCAATGTTTCGATCAACATTCCAGGACTTTGGCTGATCTCTTCTTATAAAGGTAGAAAGTCGTCTCTGCTACCTTGAGGATCATCATCATCTGCTGTTCATAGTGCAGGTCGACTGATTCTTAACCGCGATTTTTAGCAATTATAGCAGCACGACTATTGTAACCTTCTGCTGGAACCCCAAACACACAATTCAGTGTGTCAGCATGCAAACTACTACATCATTGGGCGGTGCAAAGCAATGTCTATCCATTACAACTGATATATGTAACGGAGAAGGGACTGTACGGAATCAACAGTAGTAGAAATGGCGTAGATTACTTCTGAAAGATAGCAATTTTCGGTATCTGGGAAACTGTCGTTGTGTTTGAAACGGAAAGCTGCCGAACAGTATGTCCTCAGTGCCAACCTATGAATGGGAAATATGGATCTTAAGAGCCATAGCGACTCATAAACGGCAGACTAACCAAAGCAGCTTCAGAAGATGCATGTTAGGAATAACAAGAAAAACTGTACAGCGAATGAACAGATAGCCGCAAAACATAAACCTCAAATGACACTGCAGTAATGAAAACTTTAAACAGCCATCAGCAGGTCACACTGTAAGAAAAACCGACCATCGAATTACTAATAACTTGTAGAAACTAAGCTTGAACTGAAAGTAAATAGTCCTTATGAAACCCTTCAAATTAATGTATCAATACGGATAAATCGCAAAAAACGTAGGTTATGACAAAGTTTTGCATAGTTCATACAGCAATTAATCGAAAAATTCTATCTTAATGTAACATGTACAGTATATAATCTGATACAGCCAGACAACTACCGTGATATGATAAATACCAATTTGCACTCAAGGAGTAAAAGGCACCATCAGTCCTTTCTACCCACTGGCCAAAATGCAGCCATTTGTGTTAATGCCAGTCCATTTTCAGAGTCGCGAAACCAGGACGGTCAACGTGTCACAGCCAGATTTATACCACTTTAGCAGACATCTGATCATCATCAGAAGGTACAGAAACTTTAATAAAAGAAATCCTTAATTCCGAAATCCGCAGAGAAAACGAGGCACAACCTATCCATCATGCCATGCACCTTCTGAGAAGATGAGTGCAACTGAACGGAAAAAAAAATCCGCAAGGCGGTATGACAGTGAGAAAAAAGAAGATACCTCACGCCCGTTATATGGCCACGAAAAACGAGGACCAGGGAAATATGGTGAAACAAGGGTGGAACCTAAATTATGAATGCTGTTCACCCATGTGAACGAAAGGTGACATTTTAATTATCTGAGTCAGATCACAAGATGTTCTCCAGCTGAATCGTTGAACTTTAATTATTTTCCCTGAACGTTTAGAATAACAGTGTGAAAGCTGCTGCGTACCACTTTTACAAACTCTCCACTATGGTCAGGTGTCAACAAGAAAAATCCATTAGGGAGATATACCGAACCACAGACAACGATGAATCACGTGCTTCAACTGATCGGCTTTATGCTACGCCTGCAACATGCCTTAAAAAATATAAGGCAATCGTGGCAAATGATACAGAAACGGAAATCAGCAGCACACCAAGTTCATGAAAACAAGGCAGACGAAATCGCCAAGGTGAAGAAGAGCCATTATAACAACGGGACAACTTTTCCGTTACATTTATCAAGAAAATACTGGAATATACCTTGATTTAACACAGGTTCATCGAAAATGCTTACGAATTCTTCAAACAACTAAAAATTATACTATGAATTGAGATTGCTTTGCTTCAAATATGGCGAGAATCACATAGCATTAAAAGATTTCATCGATTTTAGAATATGAGTCAAAAAAACAATGCATTGTGGCAAAAGAACGAAAAACCCATCGAAGAAAAATTCTTCAGCATGAACAAAACTCAAACAAAAGTACAATTAAGTACGCAAAATTCGTACCACTGGCCGTTTCCCAACAGTCAGCTTCACCCACCCAGCTTTGTATATTTCTCTTGCAGGGCCACACATTGCCTGAGAAACAGAACGCATCGACGAAGCGATTTTCGGTACCCTTTCAATCGGCACCAGTTGTACCGTCTTCTTTCCGATGCCACGCAAACATCGCTACAAACAAGGGAACACCGCTACTAATCCGTTGTTAAGAAACTGTTGCGTACCGTACGAAGTATTTCAATTTTAGATCGAAAACATAAGCAAGTACTTGCAAATTTATTATTTTCATTTACACGTTTAAAAACAGTTTAGCAGATCAGGACATCCTCGTCTTACAATCTATTGTTTCTGAAATGCGATAATATTTGCAGGTAGGTTAAGTTTATAATTGAATGGTACATGCGAAATGAACAGACTATATTACATTCCCTTAATGGACTCTAATGCGGGGAGGTCAGTGCTAATATCGTCCTGTCAGAAATAGCTACATGTCAAATGAGCAACAGACTTGTCGGCATCAGTGATTCGAACTTCAAAAACCTATAGTACGCCTTACATCCCATAAGCGATTCCAATTCCAATTATGCGATGTCAAATGCTAAGTATTCTACGTTTGTATGCATTTCCGGCTGTTTCATTACGCTTTCCATGTCTTTTTCTATGTTCCATTTTCAACATTGTCTCCCACTGTTCCGCGCTTGTTTTCTTTGCTCGTCCTTTCTCATTGCTTGTAATCGTTCCGCCTGAGTCAGTCAGTCGTTGTCAGTCGGTTGTGAGTGTGTCTGTTTTCTCGGTCATTTTTACGTGTTGGGAGTGTGAACTTACATAAGTACGCTGGTTGATAATAAACAGCATGCGGAATTTGTTCACTACGCTTTACTAGCAAAAACAGCGCACCTACAGTAAGCAATAAACGCACACACGAAATATTACAATCTCGATGATAGTTTAATCATTGCAATGCTGTTATACGCTTGATCATTCTTGGCTAATCGTCGCGGACAATTCCGCATTCTTGGTAGTCATACCGGAGCAAGGTGCGTCCGATGAGCGGTGGGTTAGCACAACCTCTTTTGTTCGGGCCTCCTTTACAGTACTTTTTGGGAAGCGAGATATTGACCCTTTGTTCGCGTCTAGTTTAAGGTGGCCTAGCGATGGGAATCGGATCTTGTTACTTCTGGTTCGTTGCAGTCGGTCGTCACTAACAATTCCGATGCGTCGTTGCACTCCGTTCCCATTCTTTTCTCTTCGGACCAACATCTCTTCGTTTCTTCAGTTCTCAATCGAAAGTAGTTGCTAATTGTAAGAACGTCACGCATTTTCCCTTTCTTCTGTCTCATTATTTGTTCATGTTCTAACTTTATTGCTTTTCTTCAGCACTTACTAAAATGTTTTCTTTGAATTCCGTCCCGTTCGTTATTTCTCTAAGCCAGTTTTTTGTCCTGTTCGTTCATCGTGCCCTTTATATTCTCTCCATGTTTCCATTCCATTACTATTTACTGCAGCTGTCGAGCCGTCATATCTCGCGAATTTTCCGTGAACTAACGGCTGCTTGTCCTTCCTATTATGCATTCCGTATCTCATGTTCCCTGTTTTAGGTATCCTGCGATATCCATAATCACCCTTTTCGTGCCTTCGTGGCGTTACCTTGCTCTTCAATTTTC